GCGGCAGCCCCAGGGTCCGGGACGCGCCGCCTCGCTGGCTCGCCTCAGGCTGCCTCCTGCTTTTTGATTTTAAACATTTTAGGGATTTTTTTTTTTCCGTCTCTTTCCCCCACTGCCATCGGGTTCCAGCAGAGCCGAGGAAGCCCACGGAATAAGAAAGGAAGTGGGGTCGGAGCTTGGAAGCTCCACAGCCAAGGAGCCCTAGGCTTCGAGGGGGCGGGAGCCAAGGCGCACCAGTTGCGGGCGGGGAGCGCGGTCGCCCTCCTTACTCTCTCCTCTCATTTGTTTTGATCGGTTTGTGCAACGATCTTGTCTGCATTGGGTTTCTCTCCTTTTTCATATTTGGTAGCTCTCCGCCGCCGGGCTTGTGCTTTTTGCTCCCTCCTCCCCTCCCCCCTTTTATTTTTCTTCCTCAGTCTCTTGGAGCACAATTCCAAACATTTTCCAAACCAACAAAGAAAAAGTTCGCACGCTGGCACCGCGGCCAGAACAGACTGGCGGTCTGGGGCGGGTTCCCCCCCACCCCCGACCATCCCCTGGACACTTGACTCAGCCTTGCATGCTAGTGTGTAGAGAGTGTGTCGGTAGGTGGGGGGGAGGGCGAGCCCCCCCCCCCCGCCCCTGAAACTTCCATAGCAAATAGCAAACATCCAGCCAGATTCAATCGCGCAGCCCCTCCCGGTGGGCAGCGCACTATGCGGCTCCAGTGGGCGCCCCTGCTGCTGCTGCTGCTGCGCGCGTCCTGCCTGTCCCTGACCGCTGACAACCCCACCACGGCACCTGCCCAGGATAAAACAGGGCTTCGGGCTGCTGCAGCGGCCGCCCAGCCCGGCCAGCAGCAGGGGGAGGAGACGCAGGAACTGGACCATCCGAACCTCCTGGCCAGGCAGCGCAGGAGCAGCGGGCTGGTGCAGAATATAGACCAGCTCTACTCTGGCGGTGGCAAGGTGGGCTACCTTGTCTACGCGGGCAGCAGGAGGTTCCTGCTGGATTTGGAGAGGGATGACTCAGTGGGCACCACCGGTGGCATCCTTACTGCAGGAGACTGGCAGAGTGCATCATCTAGCCACCGGGGTCACTGCTTCTACCGGGGCACCGTGGATGGCAGCCCGAGATCCCTAGCTGTCTTTGACCTCTGCGGGGGTCTCGACGGCTTCTTCGCGGTCAAGCATGCGCGCTACACTCTGAAGCCGCTCCTGCGTGGGTCCTGGGCAGAGGCCGAGGCGGGACGAGTGTACGGGGATGGATCTTCGCGCGTCCTGCACATCTATACCCGTGAGGGCTTCAGCTTCGAAGCCCTGCCGCCACGCGCCAGCTGTGAGACTCCCGCGTCCCCGCCTAGGCCTCAAGAGCGCCCCTCGGCGCACAGTAGTCCCAGGCGACGCGCAGCTCTGGCCCCGCAGCTCCTGGACCAGTCAGTCTTCTCACCAACTGGGGACGCAGGACCTCAGACTTGGTGGAGGCGGAGGCGCCGGTCCATCTCTAGGGCCCGCCAGGTGGAGCTCCTTTTGGTGGCTGACTCCTCCATGGCGAGGATGTATGGCAGGGGCCTGCAGCATTACCTTCTGACCCTGGCTTCCATCGCCAACCGACTGTACAGTCACGCTAGCATCGAGAACCACATCCGCCTGGCCGTGGTGAAGGTGGTTGTTCTGGCCGACAAGGATAAGAGTCTGGAGGTGAGCAAGAATGCTGCCACGACCCTCAAGAACTTTTGCAAGTGGCAGCACCAACACAACCAGCTAGGCGATGATCATGAGGAGCACTACGACGCAGCCATCCTGTTCACCCGAGAGGTAGGTGCAGCGGCGGGTGGGTGCCCAGCTCTGGGACCCGGAGCCAGGTGGAAAGGGATGTTCATGCTGGTGGCTCTGCTGCTGCCACGCACGACTTTGCTGTTCACTATAGATTTGCTTAACTGCATCTTGCAGGAAACTCGGCCTCCAGCCCCATTCAGGTGTTTCTATTAATTAGCCTCTGTGGTGATTCCTGCTTTAAATGAGGAGACCTGCTTAGGAGATCAACACTCAACAACTCTAGCTGCCATCCAGTCAGACAGAACAATGTGGTGTATGAGCATGATAAGTAGACAGGTTCGTGCTTGAGGAAGGTAAACAGTTAAATGGCAAAAGGGAAAAAGCAAAATTGCCTTTGAAATGGTGTTTTGTACTTCCCAGTGAAGACAAAAATACTACTCTGTCCAACTTAATGGGAAGGACTTGAAAGTTGGCCGTTGCTTTTATCTGATTGGTGACCTCCCTTGTAAATGTCCTTATGCGAACCCTTCTGCAACACTAGCCCTTTCCAAAGGACTCCTTTTCTAATGTGGCTTCCAAATGGGCTTCTGACGTGTCCACCTTGGAATCTGAGTTGCTGAGAAGGAAGGAATGTGGGAGGGCCGGGAGGATGCAGAGGTCCAATCAGCTGAGAGGACAACCCCTAAGGTTGAACAAGACCATCTCCCAGCACACCAGAAGCACCACCCTCCAACCCAGCTGCCAAACAAGGGTCAAATCCAGTTGGAAGGTTTGGGTTTTGGACGAATGCTTCTGAAGGTCTGGGCAGAGCTTCAGGATGTGGGGAAAGACTGTTTTCCAAGGACTTCCCCACGTTAAGGAAGATGGTTACAGAGGAGGAAGAGACCGGTCATTATAAACCCAGACATTCTGGGACGAACGAATCTATTTACACAGGGACCAGACCACCAAGTTAGAGAGACTTTTCAGACAAAAAGTCCTAGCTTGCTGGTGGTTGTGAGCCCCAGGGTTCACATTTGCAAAGTTGTCTTTGTTGCCGATACACCCTTACCCTTATCTTATCTGCTCCCAAACCTGTTCACTCTCTTTCCCCCAACTAGTCCCCTTCTACTGTGTGTACGCAGGTATGCATTTGTGCGTGTGCGTGTGCGTGTGCGTGTGTGTGTGTGTGTGTGTGTGTGTGTGTGT